TTATGAATTTATTTCATTTGCCTGGTGTAGTTCTTTTCATAGTCTGTCTTTATCAACATGTAGTAAACATGTTTGTATGACATGAGATCTAGTGCAGTATACCGTCATCACTACCATGCACATTTAAGCATTTAGGTTTTTTTTTTTTCTTGTGGGACTGGGGTTTGCTTGTGAAGCAGGCACACCACCATGTGAGCCACACCTCCGTCCATTTTGTTCTGCTTGTTTTGGAGATAAGGTCTTGCGAACTGTTTGCCTAGGCTGTCCTCAAACCTTGATCCTACCAATCTCAGACTCCCAAGTAGCTAGCATTACAGACGTGAGCCACTGGCACCTAGGTTGTTTCTGATTTTTTGAACATTAAGATGAATATATTTGTGGCTCAGTTATTCATGATAAATTCTTAGATAATTGCTGATATTGAAAAGTAAACATTTTGAATCTTTTGATCAGTACAACTATTTCCTTATAGAAGCCATTCTGCATATTAAAGTTTCCCATTGAAAGTGTTAACACAAAGTGGCACTGTGTCCTCATCAAGTTTAGAAAGTGAGAGTAGATCAGAAAATAGGGGCAGATTTTACATTATTTATGAGATACTGATTAACTCATTTATCTTTTAGTCTATATAAATATTTGCAGTTAAAAAATGGCATGTCAAGCAGATAAAATATTTTAAGACAATCTATTCTCTTATATGTTTAAGACAACATATTCTCTTATTATAGGAAGCCAAAGTATTCAAAGGTTGTTTAACAAACATGGAATTCAAAGAAAGGGAGTTAGCTGATCTTTAAAACTAGGGTCCTCTCAACTAATAAAGCTTGAGGAAGTCTCACCCAACATAAAAATATTCTTTTTTTTTTTTTTTTTAGTGGTACCAGCGTTTGAACTCAGGGCCTTGTGCTTGACAGGCAGACGCTCTACCACTTGAGCCATACCTCCATCCCCATTATAAAAATATTCTTGCCAAAGAACCAGTAATGTTCAAGTCAGCTTAGATGAGATGATCTCTCCCTTAGACAATAACTTGAATAGGTGCTGCAAATGTTTGCCTCTGTGAGTAGTTTTTACTCTGATTCATTTGTACATTTACTTATTGCTTCTAGGGACAACTAATTGTCTTAATTAAATAATTAATTTAATTAATGCATTAAATTTGTTAATCTTACAGACTAGAGAAGCATTCTGCCTCTTCAATGCTTAAACTCTCATATCTGTTTTAATCCATTTGGGGGTCTTAATGGTTTGACTTTCAGGTAATTTTGAGTTTCTGAATAGTGAATAGGCATTATCTCTAACATCCTTTTCCAGTTTCCCACCACATAGGAACACATGTCCTTTCCTATTAAAGTTTTTTAATACAGTCAATTATTAGCCAACTCTTTTCAACCTTTTCTGTTTATGAAAGTAGTTTTAGAAGTTCACCGGTCTGACATATTTGGCATTGATTATAAGTAGGTTTGTTATTTCAGCCAGCAATTCCCTGTGTTTTACTTTTCTGAGATTCTTTACTGAATCTGGTAATTGTTACATGTTTTGTTGATAAAGTTTAAAATTTCCTGTGGACTTAAAATTATTTTATCTTTCATATAAATCAAAGAATTTGATCTTTTTCTCAAATTTATGATAAAAGAAGAGGGAGATTTTTAAAATATTGCCATTGTAAAGAGGACAGTTTATTTGTCATGCTTTCTTAGGAACAAATGGTGAAAGTTAATACTGGGGCAGCAAATATGTCATCATAGCATAAAGTCAGAATTTTTACTTTAAACAATTAACGAAATAGAGTGACTCCAGCCTAAAAATAGCATGACTATCTAGAATTTTATTCATCCGGTACTGTCATCTTGATTGCCTTTTTTAAAGCCATTAACAGCTGTAGTAACCTTTTTTCCTTTAAAGCAATCAACTCTATTAAGTTATTTTCCAAGTTCAAGAAATAACTGTTTGGGAGCCAGGTATGATAGTGCATTCCTGTAATCCCAGAACTTGGGAGGATAAGCAGGAGGATCATGAGTTTAAAGCCAGCCTGGACTACATAGTGAGCTCCAGGTCAGCCTGGCTACATAGCAGGATCTAGTCTCAAAAAAAAAAAAAAAAAAACTGGACATGGTGGGACACACCTGGAATCCCACCTACTTAGACGGCAGGGATCAAGAGGATAGTGGTCCCAGCCTACCCTGGGCAAAAAAGCATGAGACCCTATCTGAAGAAAGCAGAAAAAAACTGGGAACATAGCTCAGGTGTAAGAGTGCCTGTCAAGCAAGCATGAGGCTCTGAGTTCAAACTCCACCACCAAAAAAAAAAAAGACAGAAAGGAAAAAAAAAAACTGGTGATGTGCCAAGAAATATAGCTCAGTGATAGAGAACTCTTCTAGCATGCATAAGACCATAAGGCTTCCTTCTAGCACCATAAAAATATTAAAATTAATATTAAATATGTGTGTACATTTTATTGGGTTAACAGTCTCTAATGAGAATATCTGGTTATAAACAAGTAAAACTACTAGCTTGCTAATCCTTTCAGAAAAATACATGTTCCAGTACATATTGAAATGATCCTTAAGTTAGTGGAACTAAATGTTTTAGTCATTAGTTTTTCATGCTGTTTTCTATTCCTGTCCCAAGGCACAAAGACAGTTTTTTTTGTGTGTGTGTGGTACTGAGGTTTGAACTCCATGCTTGCTAGGCAGAAATTCTACCACTTGAGCCACGCCTCTAAGAAGTTAAGAAGTATTGAAAAAGGCAAACAAGTTCAAGCAAAGGGAAAGTATAAAACAAATCAATTGCTATTAGGAAAGTACAAGATAAAATATCATTACATGTAATAATTACTCCAGATTTTATATTAAAACAACTAGAAATGATTAAACTCAAGCAACGGTATTTAGCAGTTTTTGTTTTGATCAATCAATAAACAAGACCTTGAGGTCTTATGGATTTGTCTTAGAGGTATTTTAAATGGGATATCACTAAATGATACGTCTAAGGAAAGAATTATAAGAGTCATTAGTACTATTAAAGCATCTGATGCTGTACTCTCTATTTTCATTTGGAATTCTTTTGAAAATAATAAATAGTATTGAAAATATCTTAGTCCTTCTGTTAATGTTATACTTTATGCTAGGCTAGGGTTATACAATTTGCTGGGTTCCTAAAAAATTTGTTTGCGTGGCAAACAAAATTCTTTTCTACAATACATATTTCTGATTTTATAGCAGAAAAAGTATGCCTGGGATGGAATCAGTGAATGATTCAGTCAGCTGAAATACCCTTTGGGTAAATGTAGGTAGAACAGAGTAGCTCTGACAAAGCAGACATACTAAAATGGCTTATTTTGTTTATTTCCTAGTTTAATCGTGTAGTTTCACACTGACTAACACTAGAAATCAGAGTTCTGATGTGGCCTTTCTTCCCTCTACATTTAAGAGAAGAAAAACTATTGCATTTTTTAAGTAAGACTTTTAGCAACCATGAAATGTAGTTTCATGACTTTTCTTTTAGATGGAAAATGTGAAAAAATAAAAAAGCCAAAGAATATTTTTAATTCTAAAACTATCCATTAAACCTTATGAACAAAAAATCTTGAATAAATTTTTGTTTTTTCCTGTCTCTATCTTTAATTTAAGCTATGAAATAAGTCAATGACTAGCATGAATATTAGGATTCTCCTAGTGGTCTTAAAGGTAGTTTTATTCATTCTAAAACTAGGCCAAGTTCACTGTTGGTTTGAAAATTTACAATGAGAGAAAGCAGGGAGCCACACCATGCAGAGGTGACCATCATCAGCATTTTGGAACATTCTTTCAGGCACATTTTCTCCATAGTATTGAATATACTTTATGTACAATTTTCATCCTATTTTTTTCTGTTGCATTCTTTGTTATAAACTCTGTCCACCTTTTTTAGTGACTGCCCAACATTTTGAGTTTAGATTACCTTAATTTATTTACTATGTACTTAAAATTTTTTTTATTTATGAACAAATACATATACTCTTTTAAAGGGTATGTAGATTATGCTATGAGTTAGGGAGGTTTTTATACTGGTATTTCTTTTTTTTTCCATTTTTATTAAGATATATTCATAGCAAAAGGGGTATTTATTGTGACAATTCCAAATATATGACTTTTTGTACTACTAGCCACCTGATAAAAATAGCATTTTCCTACAGTTAGAAAAAGTAGGCTTGAGGGTGTGACTCAGTGGCAGAGAGCTTGTCTACCATGTATGAGGCCCTGCATTTTATCCCCAGCACTCCCCAGAAGGTTGCTATTGGCTGCCTCCTTTTTCTGGGGATGTAGCTTAGTGGTAGAGCCCTTGCCTATAGGATCAAGGCGCTGAGTTTGATCCCCAGCACTGAGAGAGTAAAAGCAAAGATTCTTTGCTGATCGTGGTGGTACCTGCCTGTAATCCCAGCACTCAGAAAGCTGAAACAGGAAAATTAGGAGTTTGGGGTAAACTTGGGCTATATAGCAAGACTCTGTCTCAAAAAAAAAAGAAGAAAGAAAAAAAAGTACATTATCTTACTAACTATGGTTATGTGGTTATGTACATCTGAATTGTTGTAAAATTGCATTTTAAAGTCATCCTGAATTGTGCCTGGGTTTTAATTAAGTTAGATAGTATCTTTGGACTATCTAACTTAAACCCATAGAAAAGCCATGCATGCTGACTCACATCTATAATCCCAGAACTTTGGAGGCTGAGGCAGGAGTTCGTGAGTTTGAAATCTGGCTACATAGCAAAACCCTGTCTCACAAAAAAAAAAAAAACCTCAGAAAAAAGTACTGAGACATTTTCTGTGGGATAATGATGTCACTAACTCCCCCGTAAATGTTCTCAAAGTAATTGCCAGCTTATACTATTTGACACGAGTAGAGAATAAGCTTAATAGTTTATGATAGTATGTGGTTTGGTTTTTAGAGTTTAACTCAATTCTGAGTGTGTTTTCATCAGTATTTATTATTTATGTATTCTTACAATAACTATTTTAGGTCCACTGGCTACTCAGAGGTGATAGTTGTTGTTGGAGGCTGTGAACGAGTCGGAGGATTTAATCTTCCATACACTGAGTGCTATGATCCTGTAACAGGAGAATGGAAGTCTTTGGCTAAGCTTCCAGAATTTACCAAATCAGAGTATGCAGTTTGTGCCCTAAGGAATGACATTCTTGTTTCAGGTAAATAAAGAATTACTAAAGTCGCTATTTTAATTTGGATATAGCTTGTCTGTGTAAACAACAGTGTCTTAAAAGAAAACATGAGAGCTGGTAGCCTAGCTCACTTGCCTAGCATGCCCAGCACACTCACTACAGAAAAAGAAAAGACTGAAATGTGAGCATAATGAATAGGACTGCTGTAGCAATTCACTTTAACAACAAAACTGAGAATGATTTTTGCCTTTGAAAATGGACACAAGATGTTATAGAATGACTTATAAAAGATCTACTAGAAAATGCCTTTAATCATACTATATTTTAAATGCTCTCAAATGTATTTTAAGGGTCACTGTAAAGTCAAGTAGTGGCAAGAATTAAGCATCTCTAATTTGCCTGTGTTCTGAAATTCTCCCCAAAGTTTATGAAATAGGATTTTCAGTAAAATTCTTAACTTGAACTTATTTATTGAACATATTATTTACATGTGTTCCTTCTAAAGTCAAATAGACAATAAAATGACAGACTTAAAAAATATTAACTATTGGGCTGGAGGTGTAGCTCAAGTGGTAGAACACTTGCCTAATAACTATAGTATCTATGCTTGGAAGTCTGCTAATTGGCTAAATAAATTGACCAGCTTTACAGATTATTATATTACTACCCACTGAACAAAATGACAAAACATATCATATTCTTCTACAGTTGGTTTTTAAAATATCTTTAGAATAGTACTGTTGTTTGTGATCATAGGATATCTGACTCCTAAATTAACATGCTTATACACTTGTAAAAAACTCACTTTCTATATTTTATTATTGGGGCCTATAATCACTATTTCTCAAGATAACAGTTGGCAAAGTTTAAATCTGCTCAGTAGAACTATTCCCATTAAGTTGTAATGGATCCTTCTTTCATTTATTGAACTGAATACTCAAATTCTTGAATTGGGTGGAAAAAAAAAAATCCCTGTTTTTATTACCTAAGCCTCGGTGGCATAGATCCTTGGTGACAGATATATAATGACATATTATTGCATGTGCATTGTTTTGCATTTAAAGGTGGAAGAATCAATAGTCGTGATGTCTGGATTTATAATTCACAGTTAAATATTTGGATCAGAGTTGCCTCTCTAAATAAAGGCAGATGGCGTCACAAAATGGCTGTCCTCCTTGGTAAAGTAAGAGAAACCACTTTTAATTTCTATTGCTGGTACATTTCCAAAATAAATACCACAGCTAAGTCCTGCATTTCGCTTTCCCTCTGGGTATTTTGGATGCAAATTGTATTTCCTTCCATTCCTAACCATAGCAGATAAACTGAAGATATAAACAATATGACACTGTACTTTTGAATGGGTATTTTGTTCTCTCAATTTGAAATTCATGGCAGTGTAGCAAATTTCCCTTCTCATACATCACTGGAATCAAATACTGAAGGAGAATAAGAGAAAGGAGCCACGCCAAATATGAAAACAAGCCAATATCTAGTCCAAGCAATTTCTTTTCCTCTTACTGACTTTGGCAGACAGGCTGAGACATATTTATCTTAAATAGTATTAGTTTATCTTTTTTATTTTTACAAGTAAGGTCAAAACAAATTTAAAATAAATATTAAGATAAATTTGCCAACATGTTTTAAAGAAAATGTATGTTTGCAGCTAATAAATATTATTAAAATACATGAAACTTGGGTTCTAAACCATCTACTATTCTTACTAACCTGAGAATCATCTGTGGACTAGTGGTTTCCAAACATTTGAAAGTTTCCCACTTTTAGGGGTTGATTATTCTAAATATGTATAGGGAGGTATTGCTTCCGCAGTAGAGCACCAGCCTAGCAAGGAGGAACCCCCCTGAGTTCAAACCCCAGTACCATCACAAAAAAAAGTCTCCATCTTTTTAAAAGTTAAATCTAACATAAAAATCCAGTACATTAAGCAGATAAATGTACAGCAATTGTTACCTGTATTTTTAAATTTATTAGCTTATTTTTGTTGTATCAGGGGTACATTGTGACATTTACAAAAGTGCTTACAATTAGATTCACCTCTTCATCATTCTCCTTTATCCCTCCTCCCCCCATCACTATATTTTTAAAGTGAGGAATTACTGAGTTTCCAAGAGGATAAATAAACTGCTCTTACGTTGTGTGGCAGAGCTAGGCATGAGTCCAGCTGTCCTGACTTCCACCTGTGCCCTTGCTGCTGCATTGCACCACAGGTTCCACACTACCAACAACTATGTGGCCTTTTGTAACTTCTGTTACCTCTTTGAACTGCATGGCCTTGGAGCACAATCTGCCAATAGAAAATTTTTAAATTATGGGTGAGAAAGTGTAATACAAGTGGCATTGGCTACTGTGGAAATTCACCACAAGAATTGGTGAAGTGTTTTAAAAAGATTCATTTATGGTTTAGAGACCACAAGAGTGGAGACCAGGAGGTTTTCTGACAGAGATGAAATGATATGGACCCAGACATAGGCTGCTGACAAGAGGAAACAAAAGTGAGAAAGGATGTGAAGAAGTTCAGTAGAACTTAGTTAGAAGACCAGGCCTGGTGCCTCCTGTCTGTAATCCCAGCTACTCAGGAAACAGGCAATTTGAGGCTAGCCCTGCCAAAGCTAGTGGGATCCTATCTCAAAAACAAAATATAAACGAAAGGGCTGGAGGCATCGTTCAAGTAGTAGAGTGTTTGCCTAGTGTACTCAAGGCCCTGGGTTCAATCCCCAGTATCAAGAAGAAAAAATTAATTAGATATGGTGGAAAGAGTTCATGATGACTATTCATTAAAAAATGTGGGTGTAGGGAGGAGAGGGGGAATGGGAATATAATGGAGGAGGTAAACGTGGTTAAAGTATACTGTACGAACGTATGGAATTACCACAGCGAAACCTCCTCATATTATTAAGTTACACTAATTCAAAAATTTTAAGAAAATTTTTTAGAGTCAACTCCCTGTATAGCTATCCTTATCTCAACCAGCAAAACCCCTTGTTCCTTCCTATTATTGCTTATACTCTGTCTTCAACAAAATTAGAAATAAGGGCAAAATAGTTTCTGCTGGGTATTGAGGGGGTGCGGGGGAGAGGGAGGGGGCGGAGTGGGTGGTAAGGGAGGGGGTGGGGGCAGGGGGGAGAAATGACCCAAGCCTTGTATGCACATATGAATAATAAAATAATTTAAAAAATAAATTTTTTTTTAACTCTTGGTTGCTCATAGCAAAAAAAGAAAGTGGGAGTTAAGCTAGAGTGCTTTTGTTAAATTAAAAGAATATAAAGATATTAATTTGACCTATCTTTTATTTATATTAAAAAAGAAAGTTGCAAGCCAGGCATCAGTGGCTTTGGAGAATCAAGGTTCCAGGCCAGCCTGGGCAAATAGATTGTGAGGCCCCACCCCCCATCTTCAAAATAAGCAGAGCAAAATGAACGGGAGGTATGGCCCAAGGGATAGAGCACCTGCTATGTAAGTGCAAAACCCTGATTCTAACTCCAGTCCCACCAAAAAATTTTAAAATGTTGTGAAAGCTCTTTGAAGTGTAGATCATAGAGTTCATTATGTGTCAGGTACGTTTTTAGGCAGTGGAGGGGCTAAAAGATAGGTCCTGCCTTCAAAGATAACACAATCTAATAACCTTTACCTAGTATTTTAGTTTCAGAGCATTATTACTTTATAATAATATGTATTTCGTCATCCTTGAATGGAACATTTAAGCTAAAAAAAAAATTTAAGCAATTTTTTTTTCTTTTTTAGTGGGACTGGAGTTTTGAACTCAGGACTTCACATTTGCAAAGCAGGCACTCTAGCCCTTGAGCCTTGCTTCCTTTTGCTCTGATTATTTTGGAGATAGGGTCTCAAGAACTATTTGCCCGGGCTGGCCTCAACAATTTGCTCCCAATCTCAGCCTCCCAAATAGGTAGGATTACAGGCATTAGCCACTGGGGCCTGGCAAATCATGTAATTTTCAGCCCAAGCAATACCACCCCCAGAGATACGGTGAAGATTGGTTCTTGGGTGGAGGTGAAAAAAATCAGTCTTTTATGTGCAAAGTACAGAGATACATATAGTAAAGTAAACAAATATACAATCTGACTGTGGTATTAAAATTTCATTGCAAGGGGCTATTAAGAAAAAATATATGTGAAAAGTCCATGGTGGTGGGAGGGGGAAGATTTTTTTTTTTTTTAAAGGCTCAAAAATGCTGAGCTAAATCTTTTGCAATTATAGTTATCAAGGGCTTAAGGAGTGATTCCTTAATTCTTTAACCATCTAGATCAAAATTTCAACTTTTGATAATTAAGGTTTTCATATACTTTATGTACAGGTTTATGTTGTTGGAGGCTATGATGGGCAAAACAGACTAAGCAGCGTAGAGTGTTACGATTCCTTTTCAAATCGCTGGACTGAAGTTGCTCCCCTTAAGGAAGCAGTGAGCTCTCCTGCAGTGACTAGCTGTATAGGCAAATTGTTTGTGATTGGTGGAGGACCTGATGATAATACTTGTTCTGATAAGGTAAGTCATGTTCTTTTAAAGAAATTACCAACCATATGTGCTGAAAGGGAAAGACAAATGGTTTATTGAGTAGGTAACTGGTCGCTCAGTATGAGGGGTCTTTTAAAAATTGGCTGGTACCCTATTCTTTGGGGGGAAAACATTGAATTTTTAGTTGCTAAAGTGAGACCCGAAGGTAGCTAATGATTTGCTGTAACAAGCATGATTAAACCTTTTTGAAATGAGACTAATCCCAGAGTCAAAATTTCACTGCTGTCATCTACTGAATCTAAAAATTATTCACATGCAACACAGTTAGGAAGTGAATTAGCAAAGGGCCAGACACAGTAACTAATTATACTGCTTCCAACTGGGTAATATTTTGCATACTTTCAAAATATTTTTAGAAGAAACAAAGAAGAAAGGAAGTCTTGTAGTATAAGTAGAAGATGACTCAAAATAGCTGCAGTTTACCTGAGACAAAAGAACATATGCCATTCTGACATCTCAGGAAACACCACCATATTTATTCTGGACAAAAGTGTCTCATGCCTCAGTGGCTTAGCAATCTTAACTGAATTTTGTCAATCACTTAGTTCTTTTTCTAAGTTAAATTTTAATATGTCATCAAATGTTACCTATTCACATTTCATTAGTTCAGAATTAGTAGTGATCCAAAGTATACTAAATTGAGGTTTACTGGTTCTTTTTTTTTTTTTTTTTTTTGAAGAAAGGATTCCCTAAAAATGTAAAGAAATTATATTCATATTGAGTCATACTTACCTTAAAGAAAACAATTTCTAAAAGTTTTAAACTGTAATTTTAGTGGAAATAAGTAAAACAAACTTGGTGTGCATTTTTTCACTTTTCTGCTGGCTTTTCTTTTGAGAATTTTCATAGTTCAAACATTTCACTATCAGGCTAAATTCCTTTAATTCTGTGAATAAATGAGATTTGACTTTTAATCATGTTTCTGTGTATTGGTAGACTTTTTATTAAGGAAATTGACATATTTTTGAGACATTTTAACTGAATATTTCTATATATTATTAGGTTCAATCTTATGATCCAGAAACCAATTCTTGGCTACTTCGTGCAGCTATCCCAATTGCCAAAAGGTGTATAACAGCTGTATCCTTAAACAACCTGATCTATGTTGCTGGTGGACTGACCAAGGCAATATACTGTTATGATCCAGTTGAAGACTACTGGATGCATGTACAGAATACATTCAGCCGGCAGGTAATAGCATAAAACCGTCCAAAAGAGAAATAAGTCTAACAAGGACCATGGTTGTTCTTCATACAGGAATTTTACTCTTCAAATAGTTCATGTATATTTGAATTATTTCATAATTTTTCCACGTTCCACATAAAGCAAGAATTGGGTTTATGTATTTGTTTATATTTTTGTGGTGCTAGGGGGTCAGACCCAAGATCTTGTGTATACTAGGCAAGCACTCTTACCACTGAGCTCCATCCCCAACCCCAAGGAATTGCTTTAGTAAAATAACTTCTGTTTTACTATCCCAAGGTGAAGAATCTGGTGCACTTGGGCTGTTAATTTTTTTTTCCTTAACTTTTTTTCAGAATCCTACTCAAGGCCTTATCCCCTTTCTCTTTCATATTTCGGAAGAGAAGAAATGTTCTCAAACCAGTTGCTTCTCTGGTTAGAGGCATTGTTTTTGTTATAAAGGATGTGGCTGCACTCAGGTCTCTTTCAATTGCACACTCTACCTGGAGCCCCACTTGGAGCCATTCCCCAAAAGGCCTTCCCTCACTTTGGGTTCATGCTTTGTTCTCCTCTCTTCTGTCACCAAAATGCTGCTTCTGATGTGGAAAATCTGGCCCTAAAGATGTTGTACCCTTAAAGGTTGCTACTATCTCTGCAGTCTCTTTCATGGTTTCCTACTTTTTCTGCTCAGTCCTTAAATAGGAATTTCTTAAGCCTCTTTCCCCTGACCTCTTCTCAGCTATCCTCAGTACTGAGGATACTTCAAGTCTTTATCCCCATCAGAGCTTCTCTCCCAAACTCTTGATTTCTACCTCCCTATTTAATATTTTTCATGGGTATTCCAGGATTTCAGACTCAAAAATAGAACTCACTTTCTGTTCCTGTCCTACTTTTTCTATATCTCCAAATAGCCTAAAAATTTTACTAGATTTTCCTCACTTTCTCTTAAATTGAATCAGTCCAGCATATCAGTTCTGTGTCCTAAGAGTTATTTTTTTCATATCTATTATTCCTACTTTTGTGCAACTTTTTACCTAAACAAAACAATAATATTCTAGTCTTCCATTCTCTAATGTCTTGCTCCTCTAAGCAATTTTGCTAGCAGTTATTTTCTAATAAATCTAATTGTATGTTTCTCTTGATTAGAAAGAAAACTACTGAACAAAATCCAAAGTTTTGCCATTTCATTCCAGAACCTTCTGTTGTCTGATGTTTGCTTTGTCTTTTCAGCTTCACTTTCTCTGACTTTATCTCAGTTACATTAATTATGTGTTATTGTATTCTCTGAACAGATCATATATATTCTTTTCTTGGTTCATGCTATCCCCTTAGCCTCTAAGGTCTTTTTTTTTTTTTCTTAACCTTCTCTGCTTAGAATTTTACTCATTTTTCAAGGAAATGCAAGATACATGAGAGCTATAGCATAGGCTATAAGAACAGTGACTGGGATTTGAATATACACCATTGTTTGAAGTTGCTGGCGTTAAGGGGTAGTCTCCAAATTAGTTACATACTCAGAACAACATTGCCTCGGATAATGAAAGGGACATGGCATGAGAGCTTCAGCTTCAGAATCAGAGTGTACTCTTTCATCTCTCTCCTATAGCATTTAAGGAAAACAAAAGCTTTACGCTGGGCATTATTTCTTATGGTGACTATTTTAAAGAATCATTCATTTTCACTAAGAATTGCTGTTCACTTGGAACCTGTCTTAACTGCATAAAATGATAATAGATAATTGCCAGCATCTTGCATAAGGCAGGGCATACAATAGATACGTTTTTACCAGATGACTGAGCTAAAACTAGAAAAAAACAGTAACAGGGCATACGTGGCACATTTTCTCTAATTAAACAATGAATAATATTGGCATCAGAAATATTAAGGAAAGAAAATTTGGATCAGAAGTATACTAAATCTACCAGAGAGAAGTCATTGAATTCCAAAGGTAGTGCTGGGATTTGGGGATCATCTCTTCCCTTGGTTCCTTTGTAGTGCCAATACTACCAAACGTTATCTATGCATTCATTATTGATAGGTGACTTTTGAACCATTGGTAAAGGGTTGCCTGTGCTTTTTTAAAAGAAAATTTATTATCCTATTATTGTTGTACTGGGTATACATTGTGACATTTACAAAAGTGCTTGCAATATATCTTAGTCAAATCCACCCCCTCAATCATTCTCCTTTATCTCTCTCCTCCACTTAGAATAGTTTCAGCAGGTCTCATTGTTCCACTTTCATACATGAGTACATAATATTTCACCATATTCGCCCTCCTTCACCCCTTCCCTATATCCTCCCCCTTCCTACTGGTACCAACCCCTAGATAGAACCTATTTTACCTCCTGTCCTTTGTTTTTGATTGCCTGTGCTTTCAGTGCTAATCCATGAAAAAAAATTAATCAAATTGTAATTTCATGGTAGACAGTAAAATGAATCCAAAACTATCCCTTTATAAAAATGCTTAGAATATTAAATGACATAAAAAGGAGCTAAAAATTATCTCTATTTTATAGTCCTGATGGACTCAGCCTATTTCTCTTATTTGTCCTTTATCATTTCCATTCCTCTTGATTTTGCATTATTCCTAAAGGCCACAACTTGATATTATAAACATATTTTGATTTTTTTACCTCTATCAAAAACATCCTTTAAAAAAATTGTGGTCCTAGTGTGGTGGTACATGCCTGTAATTCCAGGTACTTGAGAGGTGGACATCAGGAAGACTGCAGTCTGAGTCTAGCTGGGCAAAGAGTGAGACCCCTATATCAACAAATTAGCTGGGTGTGCTGATCCCAGCCATGTAGAAGGCATAGGTTGGAGGGTCACAGTCCAGGGCCAAAGGTGAGACTGTATCTGAAAAAGACTGGAGGCCTAGCTCAAGTGACTGCCTAGCAAGTGCAAAGCCCTGGATTCAAACCTGGAAACGCACACCACATATTTACCCACACCAAAAGTATTTATGGAGTATTTTTAAGTCAATGATGAAGATTTCTTTTCCTTCTTCAGTAGACCAGGTATTTAGAATGTCATTATGCTGTTTATTTCTTTATGTGGTGCTGGGAATAAAACCCAGGATCTGGAACCTGCTAGGCAAATGCTCTATGACTGAGCTATATCCCCAGCCCAAGAATATCATTGAAGTTTAAATAAATGAAATCTGATTCTTTTGTATATTGTTGACATTTTAACATTTTAAGCATACAAAAATAATTGAAAGGTTTTTTAAACAGTATTAGGATAATGTTTCACTTTAATCTTTAAAAATAACATTCAAACTTCATATATTGATCAAGTATTTGTCCTACTAGCTGTCCTTACTCCTAAATGAAGAGTAAGTTCATTTATGTGTTTAAATAAACACATGAAGAGTAAGAATTTTACAGAGTGAAATAAGCTATTTTATCAGATAGAAGTCATTTCCTGATATGAATGAATAATTGTTTTCCAGGTTGCTTACTTCATTTAATTCTGAACGTTACCTAAAATGATACTAATAACCAGATTGCATAATTTATGTATTGTTTTAGAATCATCATCCGAGTAACTAACTACAAAGTTCAATAGTGGGAAATAGCTTGTACTTGAAAATTAAGAATGTTTTTGTTGTTGCTTTTATTGTATTCAGAACTTTCAGAATCTATAGAAAGAACCCATTGTGCTTTATATGAAAAATATTATAATATTATAGTTTGCTCATAATTAGTACAGTTCAGGGGTCATATTCTGGATGAAATGTCACTTATACAAATGACCCTTAAAATTCTGGGTATATGTAACTTTGATGCAGGCTTTTTAAGTTTACAATAGTTCTTTCAGACCTGAAGATAGTATCTTCCTATTATATAAGGCCACCAAGATTTCATTTTTTCTACAAGAGTGAAATTCATATAGAGAAAATCTAGTTTATTGATCAACCTATTTCATTGTTGATTATGTAAAATCAGGATAATAAGATGAAATAACTTTCTGAAGTAAATGAAATGTAAATAAAATAACATTTGATTTGCAGCATAACCAGATCCAAGTTTTAGTGGAATTTCTTTCTTAGAAGAATCACTTCCATCATTGTAAGAATATTTGTTTTATGTAGGTATTATATTATTGACACACAAAGAGCAAAACTCACCTTAGAACCCCATCATATGGGAGATTAACTGAAAATGTTATTTGGGGTATTTTGTGTCCCAGCCAAGGACTGTAATAACAAGTGTTTTTATTCATTTGATTACCCTTTCTCTCATACATTCATTCAACTTGAGGCTAGTTCTCTAAAGTGAGCAATGTTCCTAGTCCTTGGTCATGTAATAACTACTTTCTTTAACAAAGAACCTTCCTATAGTAAAAGAAGCAAGTCAAGCTCTTCAAAGATGTTTTTGTTAATTCCCATGAAGTGGGCTAAGGCATAGCTCAAATGATAGAGCACTTGCCTAGCAAGCACCAGATCCTGGATTTAATCCCCAGAAAAAAAAATTCATTAAAGAAGTTAGAACTTCTTTCAGTCTACGTTGCCCACCATACACCTACATCTTGGCTCCAATTACTAATTACTTTTTTTTTTTTTTTTTTGGTGGCACTGGGGTTTTAATCAGGGCTTCACCTTTGCAAAGCAGGTGCTTTACAGCTTGAGCCACACCTCCAGTTTATTATCTTCTAGTGGATTATCTATCTTAATACTACTTTATCCATGCAAAATTACCTAGCACTCACACACAACAAAGGGCAAAGGGGAGCTGTTTGTCTTTTTTTGACTATGTTAAAGCATGTCTTTTTTTATTCTTATTTTTTTTCAGTTTGTTACCAAATCTTTTATCTTCAGCAGTTAATTTCTTTTTTTATGTATTTGGTTAAACAGGAAAACTGTGGTATGTCTGTGTGTAATGGTAAAATATATATCCTGGGTGGAAGACGGGAAAATGGAGAAGCCACAGACACTATTCTCTGTTATGATCCTGCGACAAGTATCATCACAGGGGTAGCTGCAATGCCCAGGCCGGTGTCCTATCATGGCTGTGTGACTATTCATAGATACAATGAGAAATGCTTTAAGCTCTAAAGCCAGGATACCTCAGCCAAGAAGCCACACCAATCCAAGACAAGAGGTTTTAAAAACTCCCGATTGGGAACTTGACTTATCTCTTTAGTGCCAATATGCAAAAGATTTTAAAAAATAATAATAATAATCCTGATGCCTTGTTCCCCAAAATATCAATCTTTCAGACTGTAATAAAGCCTTTCCTGTAACTGAAAAAAATTTGTTGTTGTTGTTAAAGATGGTGGCGGCTGTTGCTTGGCCTTTGGGAGTGTACTTTTGTATTTCTAAGAAGCCTGTGTAGATGAGGAAATAACATCTGTCTGCATACATTTTAGGGATTTGTGAATGGTTTCTTTATTTATATGTTTATCTGTGCAAGACTGTATATTTTTTTTTTAGCTGTTGAGAGAAAATGGCATGACAGAGGTTAAGTCTCCTTATTGCTAAGAATCCTTAGAAGGCATCCTTAGTGAGGGGAAGAAATCAGTTTTCAAACTCTGTCACTGGCATCACACACCCAAACCATTAATTTTATTGAAGGGTTTTTTCTGTAATTCATAAAAATGAGATGATAACAATTCAAGTATCACAAAATATTGACTTACTGTGGCTTCATTTTTAGAATGGCTGTCTTTTATTAAACATTCTTGTGAGAAGGATAGGTAGGAGATATAAATTAGATGCCTATAAAAGGGAAATTAAAAGTACAGGTTAATTCCTAAGAAATAATTGTTAAAGAAAAAAGTGTAACCCACTGTAGCTCCCAAAATATTTATGCATCATCTCTAAATGTTCTAAAGAAGCTCCTTCCTTAATCAACCTGACAAAGGAGTTGAAATCCGTTTTGCAATATTGTTTAGTGAAAAACAGGGACTGGTTTGCTTACCAGCCCAGTAGGGTTCGGCCTCATTAGTTTGGTGCTTTGGATGAAGACCTCTTCCCTGGTTATCCTACTTTGTGAAATCTCTACAGTAAGGTACCTTTAACGGGCTAAAGTAGGGACCACTTATCTCAGTGGGTCCATTTTTCTTTGAAATTTAACTGAGAAAAACTAACAGCAGTAGTTCTAGACTTCTAGATCTTTCATTTGGTACCCATTGTGTAAAACATTGACCAACATTTATAAACTTCTATAAGATAAACTACTTTTGTCTAGATATCTCAACTCCGGTTTATAAAACTTACCAGTTTTCAGAGAGGAATGTAAAGTCCCTCTCCCCAAACAAATAAATGGATATGGCAGAAACTACAGCATAAGTAATCATTGTGATTCCTGGGTGGTCAGATATAATTTACAGCATTGTAAGGATGTACCAGGTTGCCTTGCTATATTTTGACTTCCTAGTCACTATCATCTCTCATGTTATAATTGTATACTCATTGTCATAGTAGGGATGATGCAAATACATAATTATAGTGTCACCAGATTTCTGTTAACCAGGGTATCATCAAAAACCTAACTTTTCCCCATATTTTAGAATGATACAGACATTGCTGGTACAGAAACTTTAATGCTTAGCTAGCCTCTAAATTCTGAGAAAAACTCTAAAAACTAAATTTTTATGGAATTTTTACTTTTCAAGTCATAATTTTTAAAAGATGTTTAACTTTATGATAACTATCAAAACAAGTCAGAAAATCGTTACCATTTTAGTTGAAAGTCAGTTGTGTGTACAATGAAGATACTTGTACTGTAATTTTAGAGAAAACATCTTCTACATTATACTTTTGTAGATAATGGAACCTAGTTAGTTTGGAAATTCTTTACAATAAATGAGACAATGTATGGAAAAAACTTGTAAATGCTTAAGATTTCACAAATGAAATTATGTGTGTTTATAAGATCATGTCCATCTATAAATACAGAGACTTCACATAAAGACTTTCTCAAGTAACTTTGTATTCTATTATTTTTGTCTATTGTAAAAATATTAACTGTTTACTTGTATTTTATGGTGTTTTTCTATATCCATGTGTTTATTGTAAATTTTAACTGAAACTCTAAAATCCAGAATGTTTAAACACAGACCTCATACCAATGTTGTTTAATTTTTTTCCTCTACATAATTTAAAACCACATAAATTGCAATTTATGTTGAAGGTCACCAAGAACTTATCTTGAATCCTAGAAAATTAAAAGTAACTATTTTTAAAATTACCCAACTGATATTTTAAGTTCCTTTAATTATCTTCCTTTATTAATTTTTGAAAATATTGTTAGCCGTGATAAAAGGAATTTTAAGGTATAATTATTATATCAAAAGAGACATATCAATGAAATTGGTGTCAGATTATATTCATTCTGTCGTCCCACAGTGGGCAGATTTTCTTTTGGAAGGTGATGCTCATAAAAGCCTCTGATTTAGTACGTATGTATATATACATGTATATATGTAGATAGATGGTATGGTTGTATACATACATATATTCAAACACCAAGGATTTTTGCAGCTTGTGATAAGTAAAAAGCACATAAAGTAAAAATTAGTTGATCATACTAAATTCAATATGAGAATATTTTCTAATTTGGGCATTTCTAGAGTAATTTTTACACCTGAAAGTATAAGATGAGGATTAGCATAATGACTTAAATACCATCAGGATCTATGTAACACACCAGTTTTACAGGTCACAAATTGGTGGTAGAGATGAGTTTGCTAAACCCAGCTGTATAATACCTCAGTTGGGAAGGGAGTTTGAAGGTATTTCTTGTTGATCAACAGAAAAGTACAGTGTGTTTTTGTATGTGTGTTTTCATTTAACTTTAATCCTTTTCCATGTTTTCCTCTATGTGAGTGAGTGACAAAAGTGATCTAATTTCCTTCCTTCTTTTCTGCTATTTATCCCATTGACTTGCTGCACAGATATGAAATTGGATCTTCGGTAACCTTTTTTCTCCTAGATGACAATTACAGGTATTTACTTCATTTATACCAGGTTTTAAAAAGACGATGTAAATACTCAGGGAGGGTATTAACTTGTCAGTTTTGCCTGTTTGGCTTTTTAAAGTGCCATAACTAAACTTTCAGTTAACGATGGTAGAGTACATTTATAAAGGAGCTTTCACACTGGGTAGTGGTTGAACATTCATTCTCTTACCTTTAGAAAGATGAACATGCTGTGTGAACTGATACATTTTATCTCTACTGTCAAATACCCTTTTCGAAACTCAGGAAAGACAAAGGTTCAATTATACTACTTTTGTCAGTGTGCAAAACCAGGTATGTGTTTCTTTTTCCTGTTATCTGGATATGACAACAGATTTAAAAATTACTGTGAGAACCCATACATGAAAAGAGAGGGGTTGAATTGTTTGTGTATGCCTGTTATGTCTTGAGATTTACATGTGGAAAAGACGTCCACTTAAGACTGTATTTTCAGAGGTGCCAACGGATAAGATAATATCTCTCAAGGCTTCCTATGGATTGCCTTTAGTTTAACTCAAGACACTAGTTAACCTCAACATAATTTTGGCCTTATTAGAATTGGTTGTGCATTATGTTGAAAGCCTGGTTTACATCACCTCACCTCATTATTATTTTTAGGTAAATAAATAAATTCACCATACCAGAATGGAGCAATTTTGTTGACCTCTAAAGGCAATAGGTTGGACAAGCTAGCTATACTTATTGTCACATCTAATGCTAGGCACCAGAAACCACTTGAGCCAGGAGCATGGACTGATAATTTCAGAGACATTTTCAACATACTTTAGATATTTTCAATGTTTTATATGAATGTTTTACAATTGTATGATTGCCTGAGATACTCAATTTATGTAGTGTTAGAGGATCATAATTTCTTTAAAAAATAGCAAGTCATAACTTATTTTATATATTGTTCCAAAGAATTTGTTTTAATGTTTTCAAAATAGCTGCACCTGAATTTATGTGCCTTCAGTTCTCCAGTACTCTTTCATTTTTTTCAATCTAAATAAAGTTTCATATGTTTCCTATAACGTAAATAAATTTCTCCTATGTTTTAATGAGCGCCAACTGCGTGGTTGTCTGGTAGAATGAGAATGTTAAGGGATGTTGTTTGGTGCTTGTAGTTTTACTGTATTTTTATTTTTGATACATAGGTGCTTTTTAAGACATCCAGATAAATATGCATAATATAAAGCCCTTAAATGTCACTTGCAAGATCTATATCTAATGTTGAAAATGTGTATCTTTATTTTTGATCCATCCTTACATACTATTTTTCCCTCTGTAGACTTTTTCTTTTAACTTTCCTGAAAAAGTACTTCTTCCCTTCTCCATCATCCCCTCCCTGCAGTGTATTTAAATTTCTGTTGAGAGTTTCCATAGCTATCTAAGACAACACACTTTCAGAGTTGAACAAAAGTATAATGTGTTACACTATAAAAGTAGTATAGATCTGTGACAGCCAAATGTCATTTGCTTTCAATTACAGGCTCCAAGATCTTCACAGTGCAAAATAAATGCATTGTATTTCATTGCTCTCAATTCAATTATAGCACATTAATACTTACATGTTTTGTTTAAATATACTTTTTGCATAGTTTAAAAATTTTTAAATTTTATCTAATGTCTTTTAACCTTTTTTACTACTTGACTATATGGGTGTATTAAATTTTGTTTACCAAAAATGTGGTGGTCTGTTTTTTTGGGGTTTTTTGCATATATATATATAGATAGATAGATAGATAGATATAGATATAGATATATATATGTAGATATATAGATACGTAGTTAAGCAAGCAATAAAAGGAACAGAAGAAATGCATATTAATATGTGTGTATTTATGGTATGGCCTTAAAATAACTGGAAGGATAAACAAGAAACTAAGAACAGTGTTATGAGGAAAGGAAATGGTGGAATGACAGGTAATGCTAAGGTTTGTCCCCAAGAGCTTCTGATGCTGTGAATTGGCCCCAGTATATTGGTGTTGAAGTGGTGGAACTTCTAAGAGATGGAACCTAGTGGAAGGTCAATAGGTCATGGGGCACTGCCCAAGGAAGGAATTAATACTGGGATCACAGAATGGGTTGTTGTTACCAAGTTTAGCTGTTTCAGCTCCATCTCTGGCTTCCCGTCTTGCCATGTGATCTCACATGCACTCCCACCCTAATGCCATCTGCCATGTTGCAATCCAGACAGAAAGCAAGAACTGAACAGGTGCCTGTGCCATGTACTTAAACCTTCAGAACTATGAGCTATGAGCTAAGTAAACCCTTTTTTTTTTTTTTTTCTTT